AATAAATTGCAATTTGCTCCTAAACTTTTTAAAAATGCAAATCAGTCCAAAACTTATGAAAATATTAAAAATAAAAATAAAAGAAAAAAAAAACTCGCCCCCCTTTTCCTCTCTCCTTGAGCTTCCTCCTCCACGACCTCCACCTTCCGTCCTAGCACTCCATTTTTTCCGTCCTATCCATAGCCTCCGCCTTCACGACCCACAGTGGGTCCTGGTGGGTCACGTGACCCACCAACTTTCAAAATTGATTTTTTATTTTAAAACCTGAATTTCCCTTAACTCTGCAGAACCAGAAGAAAACCCAGCATCCAAATTGGATAATCAAAGCCCTTCCCTTCCCGTGGAAAATCAAAACCCTTCTCAGTGTGATGAGGTACGCATACTAGGTAGTGAATATCCATATCTCCTGTTGAGTCCATTGTTATAGATTTTCTCCTGTTCCCGTGTCTTGTTTCTATGAAAAAGTGGTGGTCGTGCCACCAAACTCCACCACAAATGGTGGTGGCTAGACCCATCAAACGGGGAGGAGCCGCCGTTATAGGCGTCACTCTCAATTTTTGTTAGCTCACGTTCCGTCCCACAAGATTTCTTTGGACTATTAAAAAAAGGGAAAGGTAAAAAAATTGAAGCCAACCTACAGGTCTGACTTTCATTTGGTATTAATTACAGGTCTCACATTTGCACGAATTGAGCCAAGCCAAGCCCAGTCAGACTTCTGCATATGACTGAAAATTGTTAAGAGTAAATTATGTGGAAAAATCCCATATACCTGTGTCACTAATTAAAGAAATTGGAAATGACAATAAATTGGCAATGTTTGACGAAGACCAACTGCATTTGGTTGAGATCTGAAGCTTATAAATCTACTTAAATCACCAATGGTGGCCGGAAGGTGGAGGTGGTTGTTTAGATGGTTCGGGCGCCGATGCAAGCAACAATGGTGGCCGGAAGGTGGAGGTGGTGGAGGAGGCTCAGGGAGGGAGAGGAGGAGAAGGAGGGAGTTTTTTTTTTCCTTTTTTTTGTTATTTTTAATATTTCCATAAGTTTTGGACTGATTTGCATTTTAAAAAAATTTAAGAGCAAATTACAATTTATTCTTTATTTTTCTTTTCTTTTCCTTTTTGTTTTATTTAAATTGGAGGGTATGTCGGTCATTTTATGTTAAAAATTAGGGAAAATGACGTTTTGCGCCAAAAAAATCAAAGGTAGGGACGTTCTGCGCCAAAAAACGAAAGATAGGGACGTTTTCCACAAGAACAGGCAAATGTGGGGACGTTTTGCACCAATTACCCTTATTTTTCTTATTCTCATTTTTCTACTCATTTTCGACTACATATTAAAAGAAATTAAAAGGAAATAAATTTACATAATTTCCCATAAATTTACATATTATTGACAATGAAAATTATGTTTACAGTTATTTACCTTAGTTTTAAATTTTATAAAATTAAAACATTTTTTTTGGAATAATGCTACTTACAATCGCCCGCTGTAGCAATCGCCCTATGTGGCATACACATGTTAAGTGTGTATTTAATGCATTAAATGTGGTAATGAATCAAATAATTACATGTCATATGTGTGCCACATAGGACGACTACTGCAGTGAGTGACTGCAAGTAACATTACTCTTTTAATATATATCAAATAGGGCATAATTATTATATAAAATAGGATCATGCATTAGCTCCTTCCTTCCCAATGCCCACAAGCCCTCACGTAGATTTATAGCTATACCTTCGTTATCAAGGCAGATGGTCACCCCTTGGGTTTCGACCTACTCGTTTCAGATTCCTAGCCAATAGCCCAATAGCATTGTAAACACATATACGCTTGACAGAGTCTTCCACATCAATGGTTGCTGGGAAGGTAAAAGAGGTAATGGGTTTTCAAAAATCTTCATCAAACCAAAAGCAAAAGCCACAGATATCTCCTAAACCTCCACCATCATCCATGCCGACATCCGGGAACCACAAGGGAAACGGCACCGTATTCTCACGCTCATTCGGTGTTTACTTACCACGCGCCTCCGCACAGGTCCAGCCCCGTCCCCCTGACATTAGCGAGCTCCTCCGTCTCGTCGAAGAATTACGTGACCGAGAGTCCCGTTTTAAAACCGAACTCTTAGAACATAAGCTGCTCAGAGAGTCAGTCGCCATTGTCCCGGTTCTCGAAAACGAGATCTTAAACAAAGAATCGGAAA